TTTCTACCCTGAAAAATTATAATTTCAGAACCATATTAAGATCGAAACCACCACTTTTTTAATAGATAAAGCGAGATTTATATTGGAGGAATATTCCCAAGTACAAGAGGATAAACGGAACGAAAAGAAAACAAAAGGATTAGGGATGAAAGAAAAGAATACAATTCCATTGTTCGATGAACATACCAACTGTGCTGAAATTAATAACAAACAAAAACAAAAGTCGCTGGGAACAGCCAGCAGGTCAGGCAGCATCCACGGAGAAAGGAAAGTGAGTCAATGCCTCGCATCCACGACACTTCATCAGACGAAGTTGGGTTCTGACGAAGGGTCGTGGACTGATGTTGCTTGACCTGCTGGGTGTTCCCAGCGACTTCTTTTTTTGTTTCAGTTTTCAGCATCTACAGTTTTTTGTGTTTTGTGCTGAAATTAATAACTGCTTACAAATGCATTTAATGAGTATCCCTCTGTCTTGATTAATAGTGCTTCGTTGGGATTTTTTTGGTCTATACAGAGTAGCTCTTCAAATAAAAGAAGTCTTCAAATGAGAGAAGCACTTACAATAAAGCTGCAAATGCATAAGAAATTTACAGTGAATACAGAAGAAGTAAACTTACACTTTACAGTGAATATAATTAACCCTGGGGATACCTTCTCCCTTAATTGTTTTAATAAATGTTAAAGATCGATGTTCTCCTGCTCGGGTCCGGACCCAACTATACAGCACCTTGGGACGTCCTCCCGACGTGAAAGGCGCTCTATAAATGGAATCTTGTTGTTGTTGTTGTTGTTGTTGTTGTGACAGTTGAGCAGGCATCAGAAGATCCTGCATCATCATCCATGGTTTGCTGATAAAATATCAGCAATATACCTCTTACTTAAGGCTGGATCTGTGTTAAATTATTTAATCTTTCCTAAGATCAAATTTATGTTGTTAATATCTAGGTATTGCTGGTGGAGGGATTTGGAAATAAATCTAATTAAGTGCCATATGTTTCAAAGAGAATATGATACAAACTATAGTGTCCTTTGCAAGAAGCAGGTGGGATTGTAACAAATTTCAGAGCAATCTCCGATAGCTTTGCAAGAATGAATAGTATTTTCTCAAGACCCCATGTAGGACCATCAGTGTGCTATTTACCAGTAACATCAAACTGTTCAAATAACATGAAGCTCACTCAATAATAGTCCAGTAAGATTATATTTGTGACGCTTACTGTTTTTAAGGTTTTTTAATTAGTATACTTTTAGAATATAACCAAACACATAATGTTTTTAGAATAGCATTCCTTAGTTATTAGGGCATTGACAAGGCTGTGTGTTTTTAATGACTAATTTAGGGCCCCTGAGAGTGTACATGTGCCAATTAGAGTTAACAAAATTAAAGATGTATTGTCTTGACCCCAGCTGAGGTCAGGTTCTGATAACTTTCCGTCGTTCGGAGCCTGGGTCCCATATCATCCTCCCATCTAAGGATTGAGTAATCATGTCCTTGAGCACAGATGTGAAAACAAGGGGCCTCATCTGCTTATCTCAAGGCTAAGAAACAGGAGATGGCAGAATCCTTCCAAAAAGCTGTCTTTCTCTCTTTCTCCTTATCAGTTCTTTTCCCATGCGAAAAGAGCCCGTCAAGATCACTAGCAGCCTACGAAGGGTGGGGGCTATCTCTGTGACAAGGGGAGAAGGAGTTGGAAAAACATGAAAGAAAAATGTAGATGATGGTGAAATAGATTGGGACTTCCTGGACAATGAGGTGGCACATTATCATGAGGATGAGCAGGGCATGTTTGGGGACAACCTCCGCACTACCAACCTATCATCCCGGTTCATGGAGAACCGGTAGCATTAGTGGCACAAACCATCCATTATGACAATGCTAATTCCCCAGAACAGAAGGGTACACTGAACAGAACAGGCCACTGTTAGGAGCTGAGGTCCAGTGGGCGATTTGGGAGCTCTTAATTGGAGAGCAGATCCAGCTGAGGCCATGCAGCGGGTGATCAATTTTGGGTTACAGCATCTGGAATTGGAAGATGCTAATATTGGTCAGGTTTTAGTTTCTGCATGTGATTCATTGGTGAGACAAGCATTACTTGTAGATCTCCATAACGCGCAGCCCCCAACTACAGGGGAATGGTGGCAGAGTCCTATTCTTCAGGTCCTGGGGATGGATCACCAAACCCTTTTAAATTATATGAGACAAATGCTATACGGTCCCCACGAACACCCTCGGACTTTTGCAGCAAAGTTGTTTAAAGTTTGTCACTTGGGATTGCGAGCAGAGATAGACGCGAGAAAAGCTACTATGATACAACAGGAGCAAATCAGACAAGCACAGCAAGCCGCAATTCTAGCAGCGATGCAAGCAGCAGTGCAGGTTAACAATCCAGCTGTGCGTCTCCATCCAAATCTCTTACAGTCCGAGCTGAGTACAGGATTTTCTCGGTGTCTCGTTTGCAATAAAAACACTATAGCAGCCGAAGTTCCTCTGTTTGCTAATGTTAGAGAAATAGCATGAATAGGAGGTAGAGAATTGTTTTGGGTGCAGCTGAATTTTCTATTTTGCAAACGAAAACTAAGTGTGTTTCTGCCTTCTTAAAGGCCAATAAAAAGGAACTGGAGCAAAATTCACAGCTGAGAAGGCACATTGAAAAGTGAGTACAGTATTTAAACTCATGCCAATCCTGCAGTTGCTGAGGAGAAACAAAGGGATGAATTGTGAGGAGGAGGTGAGTGTTGAGAATAAGTACAACACAGAGCATTGGTGAACCAACTATTGTCAAGCATATCCGAGGGGAGGAGGAGGAGGCAAGTTCTGAGAGATTTGCGGGTATCAGAAGCTCACAATTTGCAGTAGCATGACAGGCAGTGAAGTATCTGGTATGATGGAGGAACAAAGCTTGAGGAATTTAAAACTCACCAGGGAGGCTGGGACTTAGCTTTGCTACATTATCTGCAAAGAACTAGTTTACCATCAGAACTGCACTGATGGGGTGGGGTGGTGGTGGAGATGGGGTGGTGGTGGGAAACAGACTTACAGTATATCTCGTAAGAAGTGATACCAAACATATCAAAACATTCCAAACATTCTCTTTAATATTGCCTTGGACATGGATGAGAAGCAGATGAATGTCATGGGAGAACAGGCAGAGAATGGGGTGTAGTAGCCATCAGCAAAGTATTGTTACACAGCTTCAAAGTGAAGCGGCTGACCAGCCACTGTAGTCAGTGGGATAGTGCGACAGACTCTCCTCCCAGTTATTACAATCAGCAGTACAATTGGCCCACTATTATTTGTGTATGGGCATATTTACAGTCATTGGTCTGCTATTTCACATCCCGATTTCCTTTTTCACTGTGCAGATTTTGTCTCTTTTTGCACTGTATAATTGACCCTTAAAGGCTGAAATTCCAGGCAGTGTTATGCATAGTGCCTTTGGCTATGTCGGTCACTGATGGAATTTTACTATTCTGATCTTACATCACCAAAAGCTCTATACAGAATGGCGACCAAAATTTTGGCCCATGAATGTTCACGGGTTGGAATACTATAAACTGACAGCAAGTGCCCACTGGGTTTTTCCTTGTTTTATGAAGAAATAATTTAGCATATCTTAATTCTAAATATCTGTATGTATCACTGCAATGACACAGTACTCTAACATAACTGCAGAGTTATCAGTACTATATTCTGGGTTACGGTGATTAAAACCCAGTGCTTTAGCCAAATATAAAATCCTTGTTGTAATACAATCCATTTCGCATTCCAGCACATTCAGTACAATTCATATAATCCTGCTATTTTCTATTTATTACTTTACTTTCAATATCATTGTTAACATTTCTCTATCATTACACCTTTTCAGCACATCAATTTTCGCTTGTTAGTATAAATATACCTACTTTACCAACTAAAATTAATGGTTTACTTTGGGTACTTTCTTCAAGTTGTAAAGAATTTTCCAAATCGCCTGCCAGCCACTAATAATTTCAACATGGACATCACAAAAATATTCAAAACCTCTCAAACCGTATATTAAAACAAAGGCATGAGTTATACAGCACTGTGAGTAATATGTCAAAAGAGTGCACAAAATAAACCGTGTATTTCTAGGTTTGAACCTGACTCCGTGCTTTTGCAGTTAGTCAAAAGACACTTGGCAAAAGATATTTTTTTCATCAGTCGAGTGTCTGAAATGGAAACCCATCACCATGCTTAAGAGTATCCAAACCAACCAGAAAATTCCTTGCATCCCACCGACATATGGAAATTCCAGAAACAGATTGTCGGAATGGAATGCACAATCTCTCCTTGGAGGTACAAATCCTGCTTATCTAATTATGGAAAGTATTAGGCACAGGTTGGCAAGAGTCAAGGTTTGAGGACCCCAGAGTGTGTGTGGGGTATTGCTAGAGTCTAACCAGCTAAAACCACATAGCTTGCCATTGATATCACTGTCAAGCAAGTTTTCCCGTTGCTTGTCCAACTCGGACCACTCTACCCATCAGGACTTTGGTTTGCAGAGTTAACAGGAGCTGAGTTGGCAAAAGACATGTCCTGCATGACCCTGGATGTTCAACACCCCCAGCACAAGTTTCCTTCAGCATTAAAACAATGGGTAGGCAGCATTCAGAGCAACTTTGGTGCCATCTCACTTAGAATCAAGGAACATTAAATTTGAGTGACACTGATTAAACCAACTTTATGTTGTGTTGCTTCAAATTACAGATTTCTATGTAATAGCTCTCCTGGTACACTGTTTCAATTGCACTGATAGATGAATAAAATGATTAACAATAAGCTTGCACCCACTGACACACATCTTCTTTTGCATTATGTATATGTTTCAAATTGCTATTATTCATTTTGACAATCAGCAAGTACACTGGCACTTTCACAGCAAGAATACACTTTGCATCATCAGCATTAGCAACAGCATCAGTGCTCACACATGGACACGAAAATTGGGATCTTTGTTATTGAAGCAGCTCACCTGGTATCTAGAGATCTGAACCTGAGGTCTTATTTTCAATATGAATTATATTCGAGAAATCTTCACTGTCAATTTTCAAGTACTAGCACCTGCAGCTCAGATCTCCTGTTGTTTGCTAGAAAAAGCAAAGTGATTATAAATATATTCATTAACTGTGATTTCCTCAACTCCATATGATAGTTTCATTTTATTTTACAGTTATCACCATCATATTTGCAATGCAGCAAAGATGTTTTTTGTGTACAGAATTTTGCAGATATTTAGTTTTATTTTTCCTTTTTTCCCTAAACCCCCCAACGTCAGGTAGTGAGACAGTCCAGGACACAAACATTGCCATGGATATTGTCAATACTGTCACATTCAATCATGTGGAAAGTTCAGGAAGTATTTCTTACTCATTTTCTGTTCCCTTCCCCAAAACTGGTCAAACCTTTCATGAACGAGAAGTCAGAAGTCAATGTCAGATGCCACAGGGATTTAAACTCAAGTCAGAAATAATAATAATAATCCTTGTCTATGAAAGATAGGGGGTTGAAGGGTGCTGAGGACAAGGCAGGGCAGTGGAATTGAATGAACACCTTATTCAGAGAACCAATGCAGACTGTATAGATCAAATGACCTCCTTCTGTGCTGTAAATTTTAGTAATTCTATGATTTATTTGATATAATGCCTTATCAATGTGTCAAGGCATCTCAAAGCACTTAACCAAGTTTTACTGTGAAGTATAGTAACTGTGTATTTGTAAGCAAACACAGAAGGCAATTTGTGCACATAACAACCTCCCACAAATAGACAAGGTGAGTGACCAATTTGAATTGATTAAATATAGCAATACAATACAAAATGACATTTGTATAGTGCTTTTCACATCAGGAGGACGTCCCAAGGCTCTGGACAGTCAGGGATTTGGACCCGAGATGTGGGTTGGGATCGGGGAGAGTGAAGGTCAGGAGGGTGGCTGAAGTCTCGGTCGAAGAGGAAGATTTTGAGATGCACCTTGAAGGAGGCAAGGGAGGGAATGAGGGGAAGGGAATGTGGGATGGAGTTCCGTAGGGTGGGGGCAGGAAAGGCTGAAGGCCCAGCCACCTATGGTGAAGCAGACAGGGTGGGTGACATGGAGCAGGCCAGAGTTGCTAAGCAGAGGGAGGGGACAGGTTGATATGGGGTCAGCAGGTTGCAAAGGTAGGGAGGGGCAAGGCCGTGGAGGGCCTTGAAGGCGAGTACGAGGATTTGGAACTCTATCCTCTGGGGTATAGGGAGCCAGAGGAGCTGGGCGAGGATGCGGTTGATGGGGTCACGGAACCTGGTGTGGGAGAGGACACAAGCTGCAAAAACTTAATAATAATTATCCTTGCATTTGATAAAGCACTCATTACATCATCACAAATTCTCAAATCTCACATGATATACTGTAAAGAAGTTTTGGCTCATCTCTTGACACATCCTGACTGAGAGCATAGGCAGGTGGTCAAAACCAAACCCTTTTCGTCTGGCAAATAACACAATTAGTAACGACTTGATTTAAATATGGTGTTAGTCCTACAGCATAGCAGGTTTTAGTTATCCACTTAAATATTGACACTGTTTCTTCATGTGTAAACTGAGGGACCAAATGAACAACCCATGGATATAGTATTTTGGGAAGTACAGTTCTTCCATCATTACTCACCCATATTCCTTGATTATTAATATAACAATTGTCCTTTTTCCAACTAGACATTTCATCGGTAGAGGCTTGATACTGTAAAGTCCATACTTCATTTAGTCCAATTGAATTAAGACAATCGATATCCAAATAATCTTTTACAGTACACATCGGTACCATACTTGTATCATCTGATAACGCCGTTAATTTAGCTGTCGCATCAGCCAGCCTGTTCCCTTGAGAGACTGTGTCTGTGCCAGTGGTGTGTGCATTACACTTCACTACTGCTAATCTTGATGGCAAAAGAATAGCTTTCAGTAAATTAAAAATATGCTTCCCATTTTTAATAGGCGATCGGTAGAGGTGAGGAATCCTCTTTCTTCCCATAATCTGCCAAAATCATGACATACTCCAAAAGCGTATCTAGAGTCTGTATAAACATTTAAGGTTTTCCCTTCTGATAAAACACACGCTCTTGTTAATGCAAATATTTCTTCTATTTGCGCAGATGTATTAGTTGGTAACTTATTACTTTCTACGATCTCAAACTGTGTACATATAGCATAGGACGAGCATAACTTTCCATTTGGGTTGTAACAAGCTGATCCATGCATATACCACTCATTGTCTGCATTAGTCAGTGGGGAATCCTGTAAGTCAGGTCTTGGTTTTGTTTCTAGATAAATAACTTGTTCACAGTTATGTGGTTCTCCTTGCTGTTTCAATTGGTAATAATGTGGCTGGATTTAAGGTATTGCATCGCTTAATTGTCAGGTTAAAATTTGACAGTAAAACAACTTCATATTTGCTAGACCTAGTACTGGTTAACTGTTGAGTTGCATGTTTTAATAAACAAGCTTCCACTGCATGTGGAACATGCACCTCCATTGGGTGATTTAAAGTGAATATTTCTGCTTGTATAACAGCATAATATGTTGCGGCAACAGCTTTAAGGCATCCCGGTAAAGCACTAGCTACTGGGTCAAGTTTAGTTGAAATGTAAGCAATAGGTCGCTGTTTCCACAATGTCCTTGAGTTAGTACAGCATGTACAAATCCTCCCTTTTCATGTACAAATAAATGAGAAAGTTTCTTATAGTTTGGTAACCCTAGTGCTGGCGCACTCTGTAGTGCCAATTTTAAATCATCAAAAGCTTTATTTACTGTTTCTGTCCACGACAAAGACTCTGGTGATTCTGGATTAGATATGTCCAATAGTGGTCTGGATAATGTAGCACATTCTGAAATCCACTGTCTCCAATAATTAGCCATTCCCAAAAAATGTTTCATTTGCATGATTGTATTAAGCTTAGGTAAATTACAAATCCCTTGTATTCTTTTCTCACTAAGTGCTTTTGTAGCTTCACACAATTGGTGTGTGTCCCAAATAAGTTACAGTCGGACTTACCAATTGGAGTTTTTCCTTTGCGACTTTATGTCCTTTTTCTGCAAGGGCTTTCAATAAGATTTCAGTATCAATTTTACATCCTTCTTTTGTGGTTGATGCTATCAGTAAATCATCCACATATTGTGTTAAAGTTGACCCACCTGTTAATTTAACATTAGACAAGTCTTCTTTTAAACATTGTGAGAAAATTGTGGGACTCTCACAATATGCTTGATGTAATCTTGCCCAAGTGTACTGTTCTCCTTTATACGTAAATGCAAACAAATATTGAGACTCAACATGTATAGGGATTGAGAAAAATGCTGAACATAAATCGATTACTGAATAAAATTTTGTATCAGTTGGTATAGTAGTCAAAATAGTAGTTGGATTGGGCACAACAGGGCAGCAAAGTATTACAACGTCATTAATAGCTCTTAAATCTTGTACAAATCTCCAGCGCTTTCCATCTGCTTTTAAAATTGGCAGAATGGGCGTATTACATGGACTTTTATATTTAGTGAGGATTCCTTGTTCAAGTAAACTTTTAATTACATCCCGTATTCCTGCTTTAGCCTCTGGTTTTAGATGGTACTGAGGACAGTAAGGCATTGCCTTCTCAGGGTGAACTGTAATCTTGTATGGTTTGGCTGTGAGAATCTTACCGACATCGTTAGGATGAGTCGTCCATAATTCGTCTGGTATTTCATTCAACCATTGCGGCATTACTATGTTGGATGTTACTAAATTATTTAATTCAAATCTTGCTGCTGGCTCTACCGATTCAAATTTTATACGATATCAATCCATTTCTAGGTTGTATTCTAGTCCTTCATAAAGGGAAATATATGGTAACTTTTTGTTAAGTAATACCATATTTCCTAGCTCTTTAGCAGCAAATCCCTTTGTTACTTGTAATGTCAAATGTGGCGCACTGTTTTGTACAAGAAAATATTCCTGTTCTGCTGTAGGTAAGGTTATTGCGACTGCAATTCCCTGCTTTCCTCATAAATATATTTAGTTTTAAATGCAGTAGTAGTGTTAAGGTGCAATTTTAATTTGTATACTGTCTCATGAGTCACCGAGGTAAAATCGAAAAGAGCAGTACAATGCAAACTCGTTTTCCACGTTGTCAATTGTAAATCTTTCAAATATTGTATAAACTGCGGGTAAGCTTGTTTTCTTACTATACTCTCCAATTCTTTGGTAATTTGTTTTGATTCAATTAAATTCCATGCATAGTACCGTTGTGTACATCTCTCCATTAGTGAACACATATTACTGTATTCATTCTCAGGTATTTGTATAATTAAACCATCCGCTGTACAATTTATTATAGCTCCTAATTTACACAGCAAATCTCTTCCACACAGGTTAATTGGGAAATCTTCACTTACCAGAAAGGTGCGAATTTCATCAACTTTCTGTCCTCCCAATTGTCCTGTAACTTTAATACCTTTTGTCCTCAGGAGTAGCATAGGTTTTCCCGTTACTCCTACTACAGAGACAGGGGTCCTGTTGTCAATTTGAGTTGATCTTTTTAAAGCTGAAAAAGTAGCCCTTGTATCGACTAAAAGTTCTTCTGTTTTTCCTTCAATCTGTAATGTAATAATCGGTTCTTTGTTTTTAGTAGGACACCCCAATGGTAATAATTTCCCATCAGGGCTTACCTTATTTCTGGCTTGCCATGTATCATCCCCTTCCAGGAGAGGCATCAATTGCCCATTTGGTTGACAACCTGGTTGATAGGGGTGTTGCATAGAAAAACCCGTTTTTCTGCTTGGGCAATCTCTTGACCAATGTCCCATTTGGCCACAGTTAAAACATTGTGCATTCTGAGTCTGAGGTGGGTTAGTATTTACTTGTGGGTACAGTGGGTATTGGAACTGCGGACCTTGGGGCAGAGGCATTCCGTAATTTCCCTGATTCCACCTATCTTGAGGAGCTGCAGAACGAGGTTGCCATCCCAGTGGGAAGTGTCCGCGACCTCTGCCTCTTCCTCTGTTCATGCCTCTACCTCTCCCCCAGTACTGTTGCTGAGTGGGTCCAGAAGGCCCATTGTTGAGCCATCAGAAATTCTGCAGTTTTCTTTTCTAAAGCTTTAGAGTTTTTTTCCTTAAGTTGTTTTTGGCAATGTTTTAAAACTGGCAATACTTCATCAACCGTTTTTCCTTCCCATCCAATACAAATTAATTTAAATTTTTCCTGTAAACCAGGATGGCAATTTTGCACAAGTGCAGCAAACAAAAGATGATTGATTATTTTCCAAATCCGCTATTCCTGAATTTTCTTTAAAAATTGCTCTCAATCTACCCACAAAGTCCTCTATATCCTCTATCTGTCTTTTCTTTTCCTCTGTTTTACTTTCTTTACCTTCTTTACTTTCTTTATGTTGCATTTGCAACAGTAACTTCTCGGCATTCCCCCAAAATTTCTCCAGAGGCTGAGAAGCATTCCCTTGCTTACTTTTCTTTACACTTTCCTCATGCCTGCGTTCGCTTTCAGTCACCCAGTCATTAAATGCAGACATGTGAGCCTGCATATCATGCCTACATCTACACTTGCCAAAACAACCTCCCTTCAACAATGCTTTCGCTTCAAGCTTTAGTTTTAAATACCGCAGTCTGTCTCGGTTAAACGAGCCATCGGCTGGCCAACAGTGTATGTTCCCTTTTGTCCATTTCTCCCACATCTTAAGATACTTTACAGTCTCTTGTCCATAATTATTCAACATGAAGGCACAGGGCGTTCCCTTAGGACAGACCTCCAATTTGGATGAATTCTGACCCATTTTGTTAGTACTTATTACAAGTTTTTTTTTAAAAAATGCATAAACAAAAATCGAAACAATAATACACAAATTTTGTATCTTATACTTTAAAATGGCCTCGAACCTTTTATTTTCCTATACTTTAATTGCATGCTTTTCTTATACTTTAAATGGCCTCAAACCTTTTATTTTCTTATACTTTATTTTCTTATACTTTAAATTTTCATACGGGCCTCGAACCCTGGTTAATCCAATTACCTTAAGCGTACACTTTTCTGGCCAATTCGTTTCCTAGAACAGACTACAATTTAGACACTAGATGGTAGTGCCATCAACACCAGGAGCGGAACAAAATGGTCAAAACTGAGAGTAAACAATTTCAATGTAAGCAAAGGCTTACCGTTTGTATACCGCGGTGAAATTGTTCACTAACAATCCCTCCCTTAGTCGTCCGTTTCCCGAATGCTCATAGGCATATCATCTCGGTGGGACCTCCAAATTGTCGAACCCAGGATGTAGTCACTATAGCTAGGATTAAATGAACACTCACAAACAGAGTTAGCTCAAAAATATTGTTTATTTAATACTTGCAGCAAGGAGAGGGAAAGCGAGAGGCAATACAATAGCACGTCTCTCAGAAGAGTCGGTACTCTCCCTCTACCAATGGGGCAGTCCCATTAGTTTATATACATGATTATTTGCAATCACCTCATGCTTAACTCGTGTCTCAAACAATTCTTGCTGTTGATTGACAAGCAACATTCAATCATCACAAGCTTGATTATACATTTGCAGACAGTACAAGGACACTGGTTCTGCTCTAATTATCTGCACTGTTGCTCAAAACCAACTCTAATCTTATCATTGTCGAGACACTCTGTACTTCACGTGATTTAGTCCTTTTACATTCCCACACCATAAAGATGAAAAGCAGCAGCCTTCACACTGCAGGCTTACTTTAAAACAGGACCAGATATCATACAATCAATACACTTGACAGAAATTACCTGTGAAGCATTATGAGATGTTTCGACATCATAGGGGCTATATTAAATGCAAGTATTATATTATTACTCTGTAACTGCTTTTAAAAAAATTGCTTTCGAGTTTATTTTTCCCTTCATCCTGACTCATATCTATTAACACATTTATGTTTCAATTGTACTTTCGCATATACCTGAGCACTGATGTTCAGCAGTTTCAGATGGCAGAGAGCAGCTCGGAAATGCTTTGGCTCCTACTTCCAGAAAATGTGGCCTCAGAAGAAAACAAATGGAGCTTCAATGCACTAAAGAAAAACAAAGTCAAGCAGGTCTGCAGTGGAGCAGGCATTGGGACTGTGTCATTACTGCCATCATCCAACTGGAAAAATGATGTCAAACATTGTAGTTACAACTTGCTAAGCACACTAATTCACGCTTTAATCTGAAGGAAAAATAAAATGTTACATAGATAATAATAATAATAATAATCCTTGCATTTGATATAGCGCTTTTCACGTCGGGAGGACGTCCCAAAGCGCTTCACAGAATACACTGTAAAGTGAATTGACTGTATACTTTGTGGACGAAACGCGGCACCCAATTGCGCACAACAGTGTCCCACGAACAGTCGTGGATTCCATGACCAAATTTTTTTTAAGAGGTTATAACCACCCGAAAAGGGATCCAGCAATCACCTAACAAGCGGGTTTCTACTTACTGCTGGGTAAACAGAGGTGTGTAGAGTAAGGAAACTTGCCCAAAGTTTCGCCCTGCCCTTTTGCTTTTGTGTTGTTTATGGAGAGAGATGTTACCACAGGACAACAAGATGCTTTCTCATTCTGAGTATATTTTAGCTGTAGTTTGGTGAGGTGTGGTAAAGGTGCATCACCGTAAAAGTTTTGGTGCCACTTACTGTGTGTGGTGGTGCCTTTGCTTCTCCACTGTTAGCGTTAACAACAAGGTAGAAGCCAATGGGATAGTCCACCAATAACTGAGCAATGGATGGTCTCAACAAGGTCAATAACGTCATTATTATTATATTATAGGAGTATTATTATTATTATTATATTATTTGTATAACCAGCTGTGGTGTGTGGACTTTTCATCCAAAAATGGAGAAATAGAAAACCTGCTAAAGGCAATTTCAATTACGATCACAAGATGGCATTAAGAACCTTAAGGTTGGAAGATTTCACAGCATGTAAATTGGGAAAAACGCCTGGAACAAAGTTATGAGGAAGGTAAATGCACTTTCAAAGAAATGCACAAGTGGCAAGATTTGAGGAGTGTGAAAGTTCTGCTGTAATATTTTTGGATGAAGTATTGTGCTATGAAATATTGGAAAAGGATTTCAAATGGCTCCATGATGTCAGAATAAAAATGCCCATTTAGGTACTTTAAATGGACTTTAAAGATTCCATGGCACAATTTGAAATGAGAAGGGAGTTTTCTCCTTGGGTCCGGGCCAACAGTTTCCCCAAATAAAATTTCATGGTTCTTTGTGGGACATTGCTGCATACAAATTGGATGCCCTGTTCGCCTACAAAATAATACAACAACAACTTGCATTTATATAACACCCTTCACACAGGGTAGCAGCCTGGAGCGCTTAATACTTAATAATACTTCCAGTTGATAGAGCCTTTTTGAGTCGGGAGGACAACTTATAGCACTTCACACGATACACTGTAAAGTGGAGTGACTGTATTTAGTAGGCGAATACTCATAGTCACTACACTTTATAGTAAATCCTATAATATATTTCGCACACCAGGATCTCTACATACATTATCAGCTTATGAAGAACTGTGACCATAATATTGTACCTTTGAACTTTAGAAAACAACTACTCACATATGCGTGCCTTTCATGGAGAATAGACACCTAGAGCACTTATACTGAAGGCTTTCTCAAGTGCTGTGGAATTTTATGTAGTCATGGTGAAGTGATTTGCAATGTGCAGGTGGTGGCTGTGAGGCCTCAGTGCTGTATTTTCATAAGCACACAAAATGCATGTAGTGCACGTCAGTACGCATTGATATGCTGGCACGCTTCAAAAATAATGTAAGTAATTGGGTTAAATGGGCACGTCTTGACTGCCATAATAATTCCTACACCTGTGTTTCCCTGTCAGTAATTAATTTTGATAAGCTAAATTGGTATATAATAACTGTAGTCAATGAAAAACAGGTGGCAGCTTCCAACCTAGAAGTGCTCATAGGACCGGAGGAAGCTTGGTCTCTCTCTCCTGGACCCTTTCTCCAGGTAGCAAAGAGAAGGGAGAGTTCTCCTTGTGTCCAAGCCAACAGTTTCCCCAGATAAGTGGGGGTGGGGGGAATGCCAAGTTGGGGAATGCCAAGTTGGGGAGTGCAGTAGGCACCAATGGTAATCTCAATTCTGTTTGTCATTAGAACACATAGTATATAGGGCTGTTGTGAGCATAAAATTGGATGTGCAGACGACATAAAAGAATTATAGGAAAAATTGTTGTGGATGTTTATATTTTGCAACATTCCTTTTCGTTTCTAATGAATTTTATTTGTAGAGTGCTTCTTGCTTTGAGACTTTGATTTTGCTCGAAAGGCTCCATTTAAATGCAAGTTATTATTACTATTAGCCTTGTGTGTGTATTTGCCGTCTTATTGTACCCTCTCTACTAACACTGTTCTCAATGCTGACATCTGTGAGGCCGGATTATGCACTTGATCATCTTTGGTTTGTAGACCATGATGGCTTTCAACCGCTGGTTAGTGCGATTGTGGCTTTTATTCTGTGTTTCCTTCAGTAAAAAGTCACATTTACAATAAGTTAAGAGCAAGTAGAATTCCCTTCACACACAAATACCCCACCCCACCACCACGCCCGGCACATCAAGATCAAGCTTTCCAAAGTCCAATATAGCACAAATCAGATGTAGTAAAGATTCTGCACTTCTGCTTTACCCCTAATCTCAGAGGCTGACCCCCTGCTGCACCAGTATGACATTTTCCATTTCCCACTGCGCCGCTCTGAATGAGGCTGACAATTTAACAGCATTATTGCTCTGTGAATCTTACTCGCTGGGAAATGAGTTCAAATTGCTCAAATTAATTTTATCTGGGCCTTGGCAGAGAGCAGACCTTCATTCCACTGGTATGAGGTAGATTTAAAACTGGGCCGCGATGAAAGACTGTTGCACCTGATGCCCTCATTTGCAAGAATGTATAATTTATAGAGAAAATGCTGGAGACAGTGGCAAAATGCACTGTTGTTCCCAAAGCTTTGTTAACAAAGTTTTGCTCACAAAATACAGTTAGTCCACTTTACAGTATATTCTTTGAAGTGCTTTGACGTTTCTCAACAATGCGATAAGGCACTGTATCAAATGGACAGATTATAAGAACATTAGAACATAAGAAATGCTAGGTGAAAAAAGACTAAGGCCCATCTAGTTTGCCTTCCACTTTCCTGACAGTCATATGCACATATGTCCCAAACTACCTATGTACTATATCCCATAATGTTATTTCCTAAAAGAAAGTTATTTAATGGATGTTTGAAAGCATCAACACATCATGCAAAACTCTGCAGCTCGTATCCTCTCCCGCACCAGGCTCCATGACCCCCATCAACCCCACTCTCGCCCGGCTCCACTGGCTCCCCATTCTTCAGAGGATAGAATTCAAAATCCTCATCCTCACTTTCAAGGCTCTGCCCCCTCCTACCTCTCTGACCTGCTGACCACCTATCAACCTGTCCGCTCCCTCCATTCAGCAGGTTCCAGCCTGCTCCATGTCTCCCGCCCGTAGCACCCTACAATTGGCAGTCGGGCCTTCAGCCTCTTTGCCCTCACCCTTTGGAATTCCATCCCACAATCCCTTCACCTTGCTTCTTCCTTTGCCTCCTTCAAGCTGTGACTCAAGACACTCCTTTTCAACCGTGCCTTCAGTCGCTCTCCTACCTCTCTGCCCTCCCTCATCCCAATCCCGTCCCCCATGCTCGGTTCCTGATTCCTGACTGTTAAGTGCCTTGGGACGTTCTCCCGACGTGAAAGGCGATTTACAAATGTAATTTTGTTGTTGTTGTTGTTGTGCACTGAATTCTATCTCTCTGCCTCCACCCTTGACTCCAGGATCACTGCTGTCCTGACAGAATGTCTGTCAGACATCACGTCCTGGATGAGAGCTAACTTTCTTAGGTTGAAAGTCAGCAAAGCCAAGACCCTGCTGATTGGCTCTCGTCGGCTCCTCCACACCTCAGGCGCCAATAGCATCACCATCCATGGATGCACACTCCACCTTGCTAAGCCAGTCCAGAACCTTGGCATCTTGTTCAACCCTCAACTGTCCTTTCTACTCCACATCCGCGCCATGAACCCGTTCTGCCTTCCCCCACCTCCTCAACATCACCTAACTCCACCACTGCCTCTCCCCTCAGGCCGCAGAGACCCTCTTCCACACATTTATCACATCTAGGCTCAACTATGCCAACTCCCTGCTTGTTGGCCTTCCCAATTCTTCCGTCCACAAGCTGCAAATCATC